AATTCTAAAAATATAAAAAAAAATACTAAAGAAGAAATTTCAATTGCTCTATAGATATGATAGAGAAGTCCATAGATGTAAAACATATTTAGTCTTTATAGGCAAAGAAAAATTACATTTTCAAATTTTTATTAATTTATATTTTCTCCAAATATCTTCATGAAATTTCCATAAATTTATTAATAACACAAAAAAAAATATGATTTTCAATGTAAGAAATGTAGATCAACATAAATTTAAACATTCAAGAAAAAAAGAAATCACAAGATATTATAAAAAAATTGAAAAAGAATTACCTATTTTTTCCATATTTTTTCAAAWTTTGAAAATTAAAAAAATATATTGATTCACACTTGTTTCTTACGATCTTTTGCTAATCTAACACTCTAGTAATGAGGTTTGGAGTTTTAAAATCATTTGGGAGTGAAAGAATGCTTATTTCAAGGAAAAAAAAACTTGTATTTCCCTTTTTTTTCAGTTTTTGACTGTATCTTTTTAGTACGCCCCGATACGCTGGATATGGGTCAAATAGGTATGAAAAAAAAAACGAAACGTCTGATTTCCATGCGTATCCCATATCCATATTTCAATTTTAAAACTTGGCTACACGTACTCATAAAAAAGGAATAAAGCATCAATTCACACGGCTTCCGCTTGTAGCGCGTGCTGGGCTAACGGGACGTGCTTCTTCTTTCCGCTTAATGTCCCTTCACATAAAAGCTCGTCCTTCTACTTCAATTGAGAAATTAAAGTTCCTGAATCCCGACAGTAATACTAGAAAAAGACCGCTCTTTCATGCCCCTGTCCTTCGGCAGTTGTCGTAGAGCTCTCGTCCTCTGTTTGATTGCAGATTATAAATTTTAAGCAACTTTTTCTTAGAATTTCAGCTGGTTGTTGACGTTCATTCCCATTTTCATCTTGCGTCCAACATCAAATTCTGCATTAGCTCTGCTCAATTTCCCCTGATAACTAATTAATAGATAAAAAACCCYGCAATCCCCAAATTCAAGTMTTCATTCAAGATGGGTCTATCAAGTCTCCCTGCACCATCCGAAGGAGTTCTCTGCGTCCTCCTTATAAATACAGCACTCTCGATCTCAATCTTCAAAGGCATCCTTCGGTCCAACCTTCACATTGTTGGAATCCGTTTATCATCATTATCGTCGCCATCAGATTCCTTTGAGACGGCACCACCAGAGCCCTTTGAGTTTCGTGTAACAACGTCAAGTACTTTCATGGAGGAGTTCCGATATCGGGTTCCAGCCATTCGCTTCAGCTCTATTTTTGACGACAATTGCTCTGACCACGAGTGTTCTGTCTGCTTGACACGGTTTGAACCGGATTCCAAGATAAATCACTAGTTTGGAGAAGTGGTTGGATTATTGGAACATCACGTGTCCTCTGTGCAGAACTCCTCTGATGCAAGAAGAAGCGTCTTCTTGCATTTGGTAGACACTGGAGACTGACTGGTTCGTATTGGGTGGGGGTGCTGCTGAATGTGATGGCACTCATCTCATCTGGATTAGTGTGTGGGGCGAGAATGGGTGGGGTGCAGATTTAAACTCGTGTTTCATTCTTTTTCAGATTTTAATAAAATCATTTGTTTGAGATGCATAATATTTGAGCTCAACGAGATTAAACTCAATTAAATCAATGTTAAAGACCAATGACTAGAATAGATTTGGTTGTTAGACTTGAAATAAAGATTAAAATGTTGACATTCACAGGGAAAAATCTCCAAACTTATGGATTAAAATTTCCACGCTTTCTAAGCATTGGAACTATCATTAGTCAACTACCTCTCGCAAGGGAGACATGGTATATCAAACCAATCGACCTAAGGACCTGAGGACAAAAAAGATTAATTATAGTTGGCTATCAATTTATTCAAGTCATTTAACCATTAAAAGGTTCTACTGTTTTCGAATCATCATTAACTTGAACGATCAGATTGCTCGGCAAAGAATCATCCAGTCAATCAGTTCTGTTTCACTTTTAATTCGTTCCTTGGCCAAAAACCGTTGGCTTGGTCAGCGATGTACTGATTCGAGCAGTCAAATCATCAATCTATTTGACCTAAACAACAGTTTTTTATCATTTTTTATTTTTTTTTTATTTTCTTTTATTTTAAAATTGGAATAAGCCATTTATTTGAACTAGATGGTCAAACCACTGACCTAAAAACCAGTGGCCAAAGTGGTTCCAATTTCAAGTCAATTTTTCAAGCATTAGTAATATCATTTGAGAATAGGACACTATTAAAGGTTGGAAAAACACTTATAAATTCTACTAAGTTATGTTGGATAAACATCCATAAGTTCTACCAAGTTAGGTTGGATGGGCACCAGTACGTCAAAGTTCTAAATATAGATACACCCGATACGTCGATAGGGGCATATCGGTACTTTTTTTCAAATCTGATTCAAGGGGGCCAGTTTAAGGTTCCTCCACCACCTGAACTGGTCAAAACCCCGATACCCGGTACACCCTTTGTAGGGGCGTATCGGGGTGCTCCCAATACGATACGTATCAGCCAATACGTGTCAATTTTTTGAACCTTATTGTAAGTTTTGCCAAGGTATCGTAAACACCTAGAAGTCCTACTAGTTGTATAGGTTTTATTAGCTAGTGCTTGAAAATCTAATTGGTTTAGTGGAAATCCTGAAGGGGTTGCTTAAGGTAAAGGACATAGGTCAAGGTTGACCGAATCTCTATAAAAATTCTATGTACTATTCTTCTTGTTTTCTTTGTGCTTTACTTTTAGTTTATGTAGTTATTTACTTATCTTGCAAACTAACATTCTACTAAATACACTAACAAGCAATTACTTTACATTTATATTTGTTCTTTACTTTCTTGTTCATTTACTACAATATATTGAGTTGTGTGTTTGTGTTTATTTGCTACAGTTATTTGAATTTATTTTTTCATCTATTTTATATAATTGCAATATATTGATCTTACAATATATTGATTTAAAGCAGTTGCACTGTTTATCTGTTATATCTTCTTGTATAGTGTGCATGCGCGCGCACACACACTAAGCCTTTATTTCTGCTTCATTTAGTTGGGCCCGGGTTGTAGAATTCAGGCTTGGGCCTTAGGCCCAATTCTTAGGGTTGGGCCTGGTTGAGTTGAAACCCAGGCCAGCCCATCCAACTTACATCAAACCACAGGGTCAGAGAAATCAGAATATTTTAATATAGTTACCATAGGGTTGAGTTGAAACCCAGCCCAGCCCGAGCCCGGATTAATTGTAACTTAATGGCTGTGTTAGGGGTAAAGCTTAACCAATAATAATGCCCCACATCATTCATACAATTGAAGTAAGAGATCGAATGGTAGCGGGACATATACACATTTATCGCTGACATGGAGTGTTATTATTGGTTACACAGCTCCAGGGAAGAAGAAACCCATTACGATACAGGCCATGACTTTTATGCCCTTTGCGTTTCAAAGTTCAAACAATATTCTTCTCAGGCTTCATCTTCAACCTTCAAACACGAGACCAATACAAGGCTATCTATAGCTTCTACTTTGG